TACACAGCAGGTATCATAGTTTTGTTATATGTTCTTCTATACACAGCAGTTATCATAAAGGTTTTGTTATATGTTCTTCTATACACAGCAGGTATCATAAAGGTTTTGTTATATGTTCTTCTATACACAGCAGGTATCATAAAGGTTTTGTTATATGTTCTTCTATACACAGCAGGTATCATAAAAGTTTTGTTATATGTTCTTCTATACACAGCAGTTATCATAAAGGTTTTGTTATATGTTCTTCTATACACAGCAGTTATCATAAAGGTTTTGTTATATGTTCTTCTATACACAGCAGTTATCATAAAGGTTTTGTTATATGTTCTTCTATACACAGCAGGTATCATAAAGGTTTTGTTATATGTTCTTCTATACACAGCAGTTATCCTAGTTTTGTTATATGTTCTTCTATACACAGCAGTTATCCTAGTTTTGTTATATGTTCTTCTATACACAGCAGGTATCCTAGTTTTGTTATATGTTCTTCTATACACAGCAGGTATCATAGTTTTGTTATATGTTCTTCTATACACAGCAGGTATCATAGTTTTGTTATATGTTCTTCTATACACAGCAGTTATCCTAGTTTTGTTATATGTTCTTCTATACACAGCAGGTATCATAGTTTTGTTATATGTTCTTCTATACACAGCAGTTATCCTAGTTTTGTTATATGTTCTTCTATACACAGCAGTTATCATAAAGGTTTTGTTATATGTTCTTCTATACACAGCAGGTATCATAAAGGTTTTCCTAATGCTTGGTCTTTAAAAGCTCATAAGGTTGGACACACTTAGATAGTAGATGGTGACTTACAGAGGGGTAGAAGATGTCTAGGTTAATTCTACTATTTTTTAAAGAGATGTACACGCAGGACATGAATGATACAGGTATCGAGGCAGATCGGTGGGAACAGGATGCCATGGATAACGTTACATGGAGAGGGAAAGTTAGGAAGGGAATGGAAACAGAGGAGGACAGTACTGCAGATAGGCTGAGGGCTGGGTATCTCAGAAGAAACTGGTTCATTTCATATGACAGCAACATGTTCATGAGATCTTATGCACTTATTGTGAAAGATTCTTCTTAATCGTATCAGCAAACACAAACACAGAACATAAGAAGACTCAGCTAGAAAACAGTAGTAATCATATATTCACAGATGGATATTCAAACATCCCAGTGAAATAAACTGAAATTCCAGGAGACAAAACAAAAACCACAAAAAGGAAGCAGCACAGACAAAACAGAAAATAATCAAGAACAGAACATGTCAAGGTGGCAAACAAAGTCTAAAGTTTTGAATACTCCACTAGATCGCAGTTACGTAACCAATCAACCATCTCACTGCTGCAGTAAACACAGTTACACAAGAGATGCTTTTTTCATGTGTGGGATGAGTTCCGCTACAGCTAAGTTGTTTGTCGAGCAGCGGACGATGACCATATTGAATATCTATAACCTCCGTTGTAAGATGAACGAAGAAATGAACAAACTTTATTTTCAAAGGGTGACAAACTGGGCATGCAGGCCCATTTTACATTCGTCCCTTCCAAGCACACATCTTTCAGACCACAATTGCATGTTATGTTTATATAAAAATACACATAATGAAATAATGCATACAGACACCATATTTACACAATTAAACACTCGAAATATACACCCACACATACTCTTACATGCAGATACATACAGACACATTACACCCATTCATATATACACCCGCACACTCTTACATGCTCATACATACAAAGCACTCATGCGTACACATACATCCACTGTGGAAAAGGGTCCAGTTACAACAGACTTTTACTAAATATGTTTCTTACCATTACTCCATTCACTTTGTACATGGAAGATTTGGTTCTTGCCTCCCCTGCTGTAGCACTCTTTAACCTAGGAGAATATAATAAAGGCCACTAACTGAATAAACTCCAAATGTTTTCTATAATTCACAATCAAGTTGCTTGTCAAGTAGCAACAGCGATTGTTGCTTCCCCATGCGATTGTTGCTTCCCCAAGCGATTGTTGCTTCCCCATGCGATTGTTGCTTCCCCATGCGATTGTTGCTTCCCCAAGCGATTGTTGCTTCCCCAAGCGATTGTTGCTTCCCCAAGCGATTGTTGCTTCCCCATGCGATTGTTGCTTCCCCATGCGATTGTTGCTTCCCCAAGCGATTGTTGCTTCCCCAAGCGATTGTTGCTTCCCCAAGCGATTGTTGCTTCCCCAAGCGATTGTTGCTTCCCCATGCGATTGTTGCTTCCCCATGCGATTGTTGCTTCCCCAAGCGATTGTTGCTTCCCCAAGCGATTGTTGCTTCCCCAAGCGATTGTTGCTTCCCCAAGCGATTGTTGCTTCCCCAAGCGATTGTTGCTTCCCCAAGCGATTGTTGCTTCCCCATGTCTCACAACTCTAATTAGAAATTATCAATTTTTATGCTATTTTTTTAGGCCAAGAAAAAAAAGTGGTAAAAAATCTCTGTCTTCTCTTTTTTTGCATATCCAGGCAACCTCCTTTTTTTTTTTTAAATTGTACTTTTATAAAGCTGCCCTAATACACTGCTACGGCCACTTTCAATTTTTAGTTGTGCTACACCTTGGACATCCCGACCTGCATCGTTCTGTGACAATGCTGACTACAGAAATAACAATCAGACAGAGCATTGATGACAGACTAGGTTAACTTAATCTCCTAGTAACTTCTGGCAGCCCTACATCATCTTGCAGCCATGCTGTGCTCTCCGTCAACACTGGCCAATGTTATAAACATTTCCTTTGCCTGTTTTTTCTGAAAAGTGGGTGAAATGTGTTCACTATAGACATGACTTGCACATAAAAAGCAAATCTCAGCAATTTTATAACAGGCTTTGCTAGAAGAGGTATTTTCAAACATGCAATATTTCTTTTTTTTTTTCCCATGTCCTTTCAAATAAGCTGGAAGTGTTTTTTTTTTTTTATGAACACTCAGGTAAACAAGTTCTGCTGCATTCTGTTGCATGCTCAACTAATGTTAGCTAATCTGACAATAAATCAAATTTGTATTTCCAAGGTCAGTCAAGGTTATGCAGTGGAACTGGAAATAATGCATGTTTGAAAATGTCCAGAAGGATAAAACTACATGATGGCAGCAAGAACAGACACTGAAGGACAGTCTTTACAGAAGCAGAGGATCACCAGATGGCAGCAAGAACAGACACTGAAGGACAGTCTTTACAGAAGCAGAGGATCACCAGATGACAGCAAGAACAGACACTGAAGGACAGTCTTTACAGAAGAAATAGAATATCACCAGATGACAGCAAGAATAGACAACAAAGGACAGTCTTTGCAGAAGAAGTAGAATATCAATCACCTGATGACAGCAAGAACAGACAATAAAGGACAGTCTTTACAGAAGCAGAGGATCACCAGATGACAGCAAGAACAGACAATGAAGGACAGTCTTTACAGAAGCAGAGGATCACCAGATGACAGCAAGAACAGACAATGAAGGACAGTCTTTACAGAAGCAGAGGATCACCAGATGACAGCAAGAACAGACAATGAAGGACAGTCTTTACAGAAGTAGAAGAATATCACCTGATGATAGCAAGAACAGACAATGAAGGACAGTCTTTACAGAAGAAGTAGAATATCACCTGATGACAGCATGAACAGACAATGAAGGACAGTCTTTACAGAAGAAGTAGAATTTCACCAGATGACAGCAAGAACAGACAATGAAGGACAGTCTTTACAGAAGAAGTAGAATATCACCTGATGACAGCATGAACAGACAATGAAGGACAGTCTTTACAGAAGAAGTAGAATTTCACCAGATGACAGCAAGAACAGACACTGAAGGACAGTCTTTACAGAAGCAGAGGATCACCAGATGACAGCAAGAACAGACACTGAAGGACAGTCTTTACAAAAGAAATAGAATATCACCAGATGACAGCAAGAATAGACAACAAAGGACAGTCTTTGCAGAAGAAGTAGAATATCAATCACCTGATGACAGCAAGAACAGACAATAAAGGACAGTCTTTACAGAAGCAGAGGATCACCAGATGACAGCAAGAACAGACAATGAAGGACAGTCTTTACAGAAGCAGAGGATCACCAGATGACAGCAAGAACAGACAATGAAGGACAGTCTTTACAGAAGCAGAGGATCACCAGATGACAGCAAGAACAGACAATGAAGGACAGTCTTTACAGAAGTAGAAGAATATCACCTGATGATAGCAAGAACAGACAATGAAGGACAGTCTTTACAGAAGAAGTAGAATATCACCTGATGACAGCATGAACAGACAATGAAGGACAGTCTTTACAGAAGAAGTAGAATATCACCTGATGACAGCATGAACAGACAATGAAGGACAGTCTTTACAGAAGAAGTAGAATTTCACCAGATGACAGCAAGAACAGACAATGAAGGACAGTCTTTACAGAAGAAGTAGAATTTCACCAGATGACAGCAAGAACAGACAATGAAGGACAGTCTTTACAGAAGCAGAGGATCACCAGATGACAGCAAAAACAGACAATGAAGGACAGTCTTTACAGAAGCAGAGGATCACCAGATGACAGCAAGTACAGACAATGAAGGACAGTCTTTACAGAAGTAGAAGAATATCACCTGATGATAGCAAGAACAGACAATGAAGGACAGTCTTTACAGAAGAAGTAGAATATCACCTGATGACAGCATGAACAGACAATGAAGGACAGTCTTTACAGAAGAAGTAGAATATCACCTGATGACAGCATGAACAGACAATGAAGGACAGTCTTTACAGAAGAAGTAGAATTTCACCAGATGACAGCAAGAACAGACAATGAAGGACAGTCTTTACAGAAGAAGTAGAATTTCACCAGATGACAGCAAGAACAGACAATGAAGGACAGTCTTTACAGAAGCAGAGGATCACCAGATGACAGCAAGAACAGACAATGAAGGACAGTATTTCCTGCAGAACCTAAAACATGAAGCTCAGTGAATGTTACCTTGACACTGCTGTGTAGGAGCCTTCTGAGCTGTATCCGTCAGTGAGATTTCCTTCGCTCCGTACTAGGACCAGGAAAACATGAGCATTAGATATAACATTGTGTTGTGCTGGCTAATCATATTGATCAAACATGCTTGCACAGATCTCTCAATGCAGACATACATTAAAAGAGACCAGAACAAGACACAGAATGACCAGGAAGTTTTCACAAGCTCAACTATGAAATATTTGATGACAATGACTGTGCAAATCTTTTTATTAGAAGAGTTAATTTGAAAACCGTTCAGTAACTGTGTGCACTGAACTGATTTTGGATCAACTCTGCCATTTTCTCAATGATCAGAAACAGAAATTATGCATCATGAGACGATAAGCACTTGCTCTTTCAATCACTGGTCAGTACTTATCACAGGATTATGACATGATCATGTTCAACACATGAAATTACAAGCAGTGCAGCACACAATGGTTTCAAATCAATGCTCTTTATAGTATGGAGGAACAATCTTCTTACTAAGCCACGTTTATACTGGATGGGTATAAAGCTGTGGAAGTTCAAGTACTGGCCTGTCCATGTTTCTTTTTTTTTTTTTTGTGTGGGTACACTGATCATTTGTCTTAGATGTGGACTGGGCAGTGTCTGAACTTTCAAAGCTTTGTACCTGTCAAGTATTAATGTGGCCTAGTAAGAAAAGTAAGGAGCTTGTCCAACTATGCCAGAAAGATCTGCACTGAAAATAAACTGGCAGTGGAAATCAACCCCTCCCCCCATCCCCACCCACACTAAACTCCCCCCCCCCCCTAAAAAAATGGGTATTCTACACAATTAAATGATGATGATAAATCATATATACAGAGAATACAGCAGCTGTTACACAGAATGGTTGCGGGGTATTTGAGGTTGTCAGTCAACAGGAGAAATATCAAAGGTTGTCAGTCAACAGATAAATATCAAAGGTTGTCAGTCAACAGATAAATATCAAAGATTGTAAGTCAACAGATAAATATCAAAAATTGTCAGTCAACAGATAAATATCAAAGTTTTTCAGTCAACAAATAAATATCAAAGGTTCTCAGTCAACAGATAAATATCAAGGGTTGTCAGTCAACAGATAAATATCAGAGTTTTGGAAAATGTTTTGATGTATCAGCAGCCAACATTTGCGTTAGTTAACTGATGGTGGGCTAGGAAACAAATACAATAAAACATCATTACAAAAAATCCCAGAGACCAACATTCAAGTCTGTGTTTAAACAAATGTGTGCTAAACAGGGACTAACAACAACAGTCTTTGCTGGGACCAACATTTTGTTCATGTTTACCCAATGTTTTCCTTAAGTGAGTTTGTGACATGTCCTCGCAGTCGACCTAACATACAACGGGTTTGGGGAATGTCCTGGAAAGCAAAGGTGGCTGGTGTAATGTTGACCACAAGTGTCAAAAGGTCTACACAAATACAGAACTGAGCACCATATGTCTGACGTACAAATGCGTGAGAAGGATTGTGGACTCAACATTGTAACTAAACTAGAACGTCAGTGACAAAATATTCTCTGTTGTTATGTTCAAAATGATTCGTGTTTAAGGTGGTGGAAACACACTTTGACGTCTTGAGACTTAGTTAGTTAGTTAGTCTTTCCTCTTGTGTCGAGTGCAACACATAGGGCAGAGGTCATGACTCTCCATGCATGGCGGTTCGTTGCAATCTGTTGTAGGTCTTGGATGTTTGAGTGGCCCATGAGTGAGCCTTCCCTGATGATAGTTCTACGTAGGGTTTCCCTTGGTCTTCCACAAGATCTTTTCCCCTGTGGTGTCCAAATGAGGGCTTGGTAAGGAAGTCTTGATTTATCCATTCTAAGGGCGTGGCCAACATAGTTCCAGCAGCGTTTTCATATAAAATTAGACATACTCTTGCCTGGATTCTTGCCTTATTTGTGTATTGGTTCGGAAATCTGACCATTTGAAATTTAGTACTCTTCTAAGGCATTTATTTTCAAAACTGTCTAATTTTGTGTCTAGAGTTTTCGTTGATTTCCAGCTCTCGCATCCATAGGTTAGTACTGGAATCACACAAGAATTGAAGATCTTGAGTTTTGTGTGTTTGCTAAGTGTCTTTGATTTCCAGATGTTGGACAGTTTATTGAAGGCACTAGATGCCAGTGCTATTCTAAATGCAGTCTTGAGACTGCAATCTATAAATGTATCCAACAGATGACTGGTTAAAAATTCTGGGATGATGGAGTTTAAAACATGTGTCCAACAGATAATTGGTTCAAGGTGCTGGGATGATGGAGTTTAAAATGTGTGTCACAGATGATTGGTTCAAGGTCCTGGGATGATGGAGTTTAAAATGTGTGCCAACAGATGATTGGTTCAAGGTGCTGGGATGATAGAGTTTAAAATGTGTGTCAACAGATGATTGGTTCAAGGTCCTGGGAGGATGGAGTTTAAAATGTGTGTCAACAGATAATTGGTTCAAGGTCCTGGGATGATGGAGTTTAAAATGTGTGTCCAACAGCTGATTGGTTCAAGGTCCTGGGATGATGGAGTTTAAAATGTGTGTCTAACAGCTGATTGGTTCAAGGTCCTGGGATGATGGAGTTTAAAATGTGTGTCAACAGATGATTGGTTCAAGGTGCTGGGATGATGGAGTTTAAAATGTGTGTCAACAGATGATTGGTTCAAGGTCCTGGGAGGATGGAGTTTAAAATGTGTGCCAACAGATGATTGGTTCAAGGTCCTGGGATGATGGAGTTTAAAATGTGTGTCCAACAGATGATTGGTTCAAGGTCCTGGGATGATGGAGTTTAAAATGTGTGTCAACAGATGATTGGTTCAAGGTGCTGGGATGATGGAGTTTAAAATGTGTGTCAACAGATGATTGGTTCAAGGTCCTGGGATGATGGAGTTTAAAATGTGTGTCCAACAGATGATTGGTTCAAGGTCCTGGGATGATGGAGTTTAAAATGTGTGCCAACAGATGATTGGTTCAAGGTCCTGGGAGGATGGAGTTTAAAATGTGTCCAACAGATGATTGGTTTAAGGTCCTGGGATGATGTAATTTGTAAAAAAAAAAATTTTTTAATATCCAGAAACCATGATTTGTAAACCCTTAGGCTCGGTACTATGGACATAGCAACCCTTTGGCCTTGATTCCTCGATAGATACCATAAATCTGGGAGGAATGGGGCTTTTCTGCCTACCCCTGGGCGCAGCCAGTTTTAACCAGCTGAGCTATTGAGCAGGGCGTGACGTAATTTAAATATGTGCCAAACAGAAGATTGGTTCAAGGTCATGGGATGACACAACATGGAATGAATGATTTATAAAATGTCAAATATGGAATGATTGATTTATAAAAATGTCACAGATGGCAAAATTGATTTATAAAAACATCAAACATGGAATGATTGATTTATAAAAATGTCAAACATGGGATGATGCATTCATCAAAGAAAATAACTGCAATACTTACGTGAATTGTCACGTGACCTTTTGTAACTGTAGCCTATGAAATACAATGGACAGCTGTTAGCAGCAAGGTACAAAACGTGTCTTGATATTAACTATACAAAAACTATCGTCTGGAAAGAAGGAAAGGTGCCAACAACATTCAGACTGCAATGTTGAGATTAACAGTGTTATTTGAGGCGAATGTTTCTAAGAATTTATGATAATTAACAACACATTAAATCTTCTTCTTCTTCTTCTGCATTCAACATCAGTCAGCTAAACATTGAGTCACAAATAGGATTGTGCGTTTAAGGTCACCATTGGTCTCCCATAGTCTCTTGCAATGTGGCTCCCTTGGATACATGTGTGACACTGGAAACTGTCAGAGTGGACAAAGCTTTTCTTCCCACTATTCCAGGCAAAGCCGGACATTCAAATCTAGGTAGGTTAGTTGCGTATCCTTTACAGGACGTTGCAGAACCAACCCCAACAGCTCCTGGCTGTTGTGTGGTTTTTCTAGGCAAATTTACGTCCAGTAGTTTGCCCTTGCCTCTGGACGGTCGGCTTTCTTGATACCACTGTCAATACCAACACAAGGCGCATGGCCTGCACTTGGGATCGAACCCGGCATCCCAGCATTACGAAGCGTTCGCATCGACTTTTAAAATCTAGTAATGTCATAAAATTATAAGTTGTTTATAAAATGCCAATTAATTATTCCATTACCAGAGTTTTTGCTCGAATTTCCCGATTGTTTTGACCGTGACGAGATTCCAGACACATTAGCCCTGTGCTCTCGATGTCTGCAATAAAAATGCAAATAAGTCATTACTACTTGGTAAAATCAAACAACTGGAGACATACTGTATCAATATGACAGATGTACCTGTCCAGTCTAGAACGCACATCAGAGAAGTATCAGAAACATCACAACAGGCTAAATAAAACACTATCTTCTGTCCCTGTTTAAACTCTGGGGCCTCTAGGGAAGAGATGAATGGACCCACTGTTCATTCATAAGCATGTCCTAAAAGGTGACTAAGGATTGACTCAAACTGGATGTGTTGGGCCACAAGGTGCAGATATCACGGCCTAGCTGTGAACCACAACACAGCACACCAACTGTTCTTCTAAGAGCAAACACAGAAGGACATTATATTTTCTTAAAGACACTTACTGTTTTAAGACTGCTTCTTTCTGTTTTCTCTCTTTCTCTTTGACGAAGGCTGTTGGGTTAAATCTTCTAGACACTGAAAAACAAACAGCAAATTTATAATGGGACACTGAAAACTGTCAGAGTGGGGACACCGATACATGTGTGGCTACTGGAAACTGTCAGAGTGGACACACTGATACATGTGTGACACTGGAAACTGTCAGAGTGGACACACTGATACATGTGTGACACTGGAAACTGTCAGAGTGGACACATCGATACATGTGTGACACTGGAAACTGTCAGAGTGGACGCACTGATACATGTGTGACACTGGAAACTGTCAGAGTGGACACACTGATACATGTGTGACACTGGAAACTGTCAGAGTGGACGCACTGATACATGTGTGGCTACTGGAAACTGTTAGAGTGGACACACTGATACATGTGTGACACTGGAAACTGTTGGAGTGGACACACTGATACATGTGTGGCTACCTGGAGAAACTAAAGATAATTGTGGCTACATAAGCAGACGTGTGAACATTTATACATATATGTTTGTGTGTACACTTATGTACTATTAATATATATATATATATATATATATATATATATATATATATATATATATATATATATATATATATATATATATATATATATATATACACACACACACACACACAGATACATATATATAATTACACACACACACATGAGGGAGCTTCAAAAAGAAAACCTTGCAAGTGCGACAGAAACTACAATAACCATGCTACTGTCATGTAACGTGTCAGCACTGTTGTTACGGATGTAAAGAATGTTAAGCACTTGACATCATGGTGCAGATGAACACACGATGTCATAAAGACAGTTTAAAGATGGCTGAAGCACGGTTTTGTTATTCCTTTTTTTTTCTTTCAATCAGTCAAGGTGTGAAACATCAATCAGTCAAGGTGTGAAACATCAATCAGTCAAGGTGTGAAACATCAATCAGTCAAGGTGTGAAACATCAATCAGTCAAGGTGTGAAACATCAATCAGTCAAGGTGTGAAACATCAATCAGACAAGGTGTGAAACATCAATCAGTCAAGGTGTGAAACCTCAAGAAATGCTTGCAACACCATACTGGACCTTCCTTTGGCAATGAACTAACCAAATTCCAGTGAATCAAGAGGTGAAGAAAAGAGGCAGGTGTTGGATAGGACACACATTTTTCTTTAAACCCAGAGAACCTATTAGAAGAAGAAGAACTTTGCGGTGGAACCCACGGTGGCATAGAGACATAAAAGCAGCCCAAAAAAACCCAGAGAACCTATAAGAAGAATAACTTTACGGTGGAACCCACGGTGGCATAGAGACATAAAAGCAGCCCAAAAAAACCCAGAGAACCTATAAGAAGAATAACTTTGCGGTGGAACCCACGGTGGCATAGAGACATAAAAGCAGCCCCAAAAAACCCAGAGAACCTATAAGAAGAATAACTTTGCGGGTGGAACCCACGGTGGCATAGAGACATAAAAGCAGCCCAAAAAAACCCAGAGAACCTATAAGAAGAATAACTTTGCGGTGGAACCCACGGTGGCATAGAGACATAAAAGCAGCCCAAAAAAACCCAGAGAACCTATAAGAAGAATAACTTTGCGGTGGAACCCACGGTGGCATAGAGACATAAAAGCAGCCCAAACAACACACAGAGAACCTATAAGAAGAATAACTTTGCGGTGGAACCCACGGTGGCATAGAGACATAAAAGCAGCCCAAACAAACACACAGAGAACCTATAAGAAGAAGAACTTTGCGGTGGAACCCACGGTGGCATAGAGACATAAAAGCAGCCCAAACAAACACACAGAGAGAACCTATAAGAAGAAGAACTTTGCGGTGGAACCCACGGTGGCATAGAGACATAAAAGCAGCCCAAACAAACACACAAAGAACCTATAAGAAGAATAACTTTGCGGTGGAACCCACGGTGGCATAGAGACATAAAAGCAGCCCAAACAAACACACAGAGAACCTATAAGAAGAATAACTTTGCGGTGGAACCCACGGTGGCATAGAGACATAAAAGCAGCCCAAACAACACACAGAGAACCTATAAGAAGAAGAACTTTGCGGTGGAACCCACAGTGGCATAGAGGCATACAAGCAGCCCAAACAAACCCAGAGAACCTATAAGAAGAAGAACTTTGCGGTGGAACCCACGGTGGCATAGAGACATAAAAGCAGCCCAAACAACACACAGAGAACCTATAAGAAGAAGAACTTTGCGGTGGAACCCACGGTGGCATAGAGACATACAAGCAGCCCAAACAACACCCAGAGAACCTATAAGAAGAATAACTTTGCGGTGGAACCCACGGTGGCATAGAGACATAAAAGCAGCCCAAACAACACACAGAGAACCTATAAGAAGAAGAACTTTGCGGTGGAACCCACGGTGGCATAGAGGCATAAAAGCAGCCCAAACAAACACACAGAGAACCTATAAGAAGAAGAACTTTGCGGTGGAACCCACGGTGGCATAGAGACATAAAAGCAGCCCAAACAAACACACAGAGAACCTATAAGAAGAATAACTTTGCGGTGGAACCCACGGTGGCATAGAGACATAAAAGCAGCCCAAACAACACACAGAGAACCTATAAGAAGAAGAACTTTGCGGTGGAACCCACAGTGGCATAGAGGCATACAAGCAGCCCAAACAAACCCAGAGAACCTATAAGAAGAAGAACTTTGCGGTGGAACCAACGGTGGCATAGAGACATAAAAGCAGCCCAAACAACACACAGAGAACCTATAAGAAGAAGAACTTTGCGGTGGAACCCACGGTGGCATAGAGACATACAAGCAGCCCAAACAACACCCAGAGAACCTATAAGAAGAATAACTTTGCGGTGGAACCCACGGTGGCATAGAGACATAAAAGCAGCCCAAACAAACCCAGAGAACCTATAAGAAGAAGAACTTTGCGGTGGAACCCACGGTGGCATAGAGACATAAAAGCAGCCCAAACAAACCCAGAGAACCTATAAGAAGAAGAACTTTGCGGTGGAACCCACGGTGGCATAGAGACATAAAAGCAGCCCAAACAACACACAGAGAACCTATAAGAAGAAGAACTTTGCGGTGGAACCCACGGTGGCATAGAGAAATAAAAGCAGGGGGGGGGGAGACATGGGATGAGCTGCATCCAATGACCAAGGACAGGATAACTCTGTGTGATTGGGTCAAAAGACAGGGGGGGGGGGGGGGGGGACATGGGATGAGCTGCATGCAATGACCAAGGACAGGATAACTGTGTGATTGGGTCAAAAGACAGGGGGGGGGGGGGAGACATGGGATGAGCTGCATGCAATAACCAAGGACAGGATGACTCTGTGTGATTTGGCTGAGGGCCTATGCTCAACTTGAGGATAAAGGGCAGAACAAGAAGACTTTGGCCAGGGCCAATGAGAAAGCAGATCAGAGAAACACTTTATCACATCATGAATTTTGTGAGAGGGGACTAGAGGATTGGCATGAGACTGATAACTTCATCGCAGGAGAAAGTCTTATAGAGGGGTTATAAGAATATCAGGGGTAAAGAAAATAACAAATGCATCCATACTTCAAGAAATGAAAACTGAAGAAGGTTGGCTATTAAAGACGATAAAACACAGAAAATTGAAACATTTTGGTCACCTGAAACATCACAAAAGTTTAGTTAGAACAATAATGGAGGGGTATATGCCTGGAAAGACAGGAAGAGGAAGGCCAAAGAGAATATGGGTGCAGGATGTGGCGGATGATCTCCAGATGAGTCTGTCGGATGCTGGACATCTTGCTTGTGATCGAGAAGTTTTCCAGAAGGTTCTGCAAAGGATATGCTACTGACTGAGTTTAGAAAGAACAATCTGGTGTAATACTGGTGTCGGTTTTCATCACAAGACAATTGGTACAATTTAATTCCCTGTGCAAGTTCCAAACTCAGTTTCTTGTGCCCCAAAAAGGGCCTCAGGAATCCTCAAAAGCAAATAAAAACTGAATACCTTCCAAGCTAAGATTTTCCTATCTTCTTCAGTTGGAATGTTGTGCTTTACAGCTAGGCTGTGACATCTGTGTCTTTCGGCCCAACAATGCTTATTTCTCAAACCCTAACTTAGCCACTTTTTATAACATTCGCGATAAATTGCATGGGGGTCTATTCTTCCTCCTTCTACCCCTCAACCTCCCCCCTTCCCCACCCAAATGGGGCACCGGAACCCATAGGGAGATAAAATATTCCAATCTGTATATTTTTCAAATAAAATTAGGCCTTCTTTTTTGTTCAACAGCTGTAAGCTCTGGCAGATTCTGGTTTTGTGGCAGGACCTGAGTTTTGCATGTAGCTCCCTTGTACTGGCTTATTTGTGTGCAGCTGGCTCTTCTTCACTGTGTTGTGAATGAAAGCTGCGATGCCGAAGTTGAGGTTCTTTTTCACACAAAAATTTTTTGACATAAATAGCCCATCTTCAAAGGCGTCTTCCACTTTTTTTTTAAAAGTCTTTCAACAGCCAAAAGTAAAGTTATTTAAACAAAAAATTTTGAGTGAAAAGTGGCTGCATCAGGACATAATTAAAACTTGTTGATGGCAGTTTCTGGGGATGCGACTAAAGTTCACTGCAAGAACTGCAAGAGCAAAACAAAAGCAAAAGTGCAAGACTTGAAGAGTCATGCGGAGACATAAAAAGGGTAAAACTACAGTGGCATTCAGGGATATACACCGCTGACATCTGTTTTTAGAACTAAAAAGATTAATGAATCACTGTATGGAGCTTTTTGGATACTAAGCCACATATTGTATGCCAAATCAGATTTTTTTTTTACTGGTATTTTAAAAACACAAGGACTGTTTAAAACAAAATGAAGAGAATAACTTAATAATGTTCGCTGCGGAGGACACGGGTGAGGAATTTTTCACCAGGAACACCAGTGTGTTGGGAAATGAACACGCGGACAGACTGGCTGGCTCTGCACAACTTGGTGGAACACTGATACATGATAGGACAGACGTGGTTAGTGCCTTGTGGGAGAGCATGTACAGTTCGGAGGAGCAGATGGATCACCACAGTCTGGTGAGATTGATGCAGGGGGTAGTGACGAGAGGTTCTGGCAGTTGCTCGAGGCTCAGAGGAAAGGCAAGACGGACATTTAATCAGAATGCTACTGGCACCATTAGTATCGGAACTCTTTGCTGGCTGCTGAAGATGGGGACGGAGCGCTTATGGGAATGCCCCGAGTGTTGTGATGTCAGTTCTTGAATCAAATCAAATCATCAAATCAATCAGCGGGGAAAAAAACAATTATATCTGTTCTGTTAACATGCAAACAAAATTCAGCCAGTAAAGATCATATGTAAATACAGTAAAATTATGACATTTGTAGGGGCTGCTGCAGAATAGTGTGGTGACAGTAGAACATCAGTTAACAAAAATAAATCTGATTGTTAATGAAGTTGCAACTTGTGCTACTAGCATGTCGACTTTGTTTTGGCCATGGAAGAAGAGAATAGAGCACGTGTGGGAGTGTCTTGAGTGCAGTGATGCCAATTCTTGATTCATTCATTCATTCATTTATTCATTTATTCATTGTAATTTCTAACTTTTTCATCTGGATGTTTTTTGTGTGGATTGTTTTACCTGTACAATCTAGATATTTCTAGACGCTGTTTAGTTTTTGATGTTCTTTCAAAGAATAGTGGCAAATATGGTATGTGTGTGCGAGAGTGTTTGTCAAATTTACAAATCGGACAGTTCATCATCTTCTTAAATGCTTACCAATTGGAGATGGTGTACGACTGCGATGACTTCCTGAACCGGCTGATAAGCGACTACGATTGGCTGAATTGTTACGGTCAAAAGAATTGGACCTTGGCCTAGGACCACTGCCATTCAGTAAAGAACGAGATACATGCTCTGTAGAGTTTGACCTGCGTATAAACTGAGGGCGCTCTCGAGATCCTGCTCGAAGTCTGCTCTCTGACCCAGATCTGCTGGATGCTCGATCATTGGACAGTGATCGCTGTCGAGAAGAAGACAGGTTACGAGCTCCAGGTACTCTGTCTACTAGACCATTCTGCTCTTTGGAGGCCCTCCTTGTCAGTGGCCTTCCTCTGAAATGGATTTTCACAACAAATTATCAACAAAATATACATTTTTACACTGGAAACTTGCAAAACCTATACATAAAAAGGCATGGTCAATATTCAGAAAATGAAAACAATTCCTTACCACAAAATTTATTTCTGTTCTTGAATTTACTGTGTGTTTTTTTTTTAACCTATGGATCCTTGTAGTTATCATCAATGAATCCTTGTAGTTATCATCAATGAATCCTTGTAGTTATCATCAATGGATCCTTGTAGTTATCATCAATGGATCCTTGTAGTTATCATCAATGAATCCTTGTAGTTATCATCAATGGATCCTTGTAGTTATCATCAATGAATCCTTGTAGTTATCATCAATGGATCTTCATAGTTATCATCAATGGATCTTCATAGTTATCATCAATGGATCTTCATAGTTATCATCAATGGATCTTCATAGTTATCATCAATGGATCCTTGTAGTTATCATCAATGGATCTTCATAGTTTTCATCAATGGATCCTTGTAGTTATCATCAATGGATCTTCATAGTTATCATCAATGGATCTTCATAGTTATCATCAATGGATCCTCATAGTTATCACCAATGGATCCTCATAGTTATCATCAATGGATCCTTGTAGTTATTATCAATGGATCTTCATAGTTATCATCAATGGATCTTCATAGTTATCATCAATGGATCCTTGTAGTTATCATCAATGGATCTTCATAGTTTTCATCAATGGATCCTTGTAGTTATCATCAATGGATCTTCATAGTTATCATCAATGGATCCTCATAGTTATCATCAATGGATCCTCATAGTTATCACCAATGGATCCTCATAGTTATCATCAATGGATCCTCATAGTTATCATCAATGGATCCTCATAGTTATCATCAATGGATCCTCATAGTTATCATCAATGGATCCTCATATTTATCATCAATGGATCCTCATAGTTATCATCAATGGATCCTCATAGTTATCATCAATGGATCCTCATAGTTATCATCAATGGATCCTCATAGAATCATCTCTGATTCTCATAGTTATCAATGGATGAGTTAGCTGGATTATCTTCACAGCACTCCGGACACATCCATAGGTGCCCAATTAGCTTGTCATTCCCCCCCCCCTTTCTGCTGGTTGAAATTCATCCAGACCCCGTACTAACTCCCAGCTAAATCATTCTCTCCAGGAATGGATGCTCTGTCAGTTCTGCGGCACTGTTGACCTGGCCTCAGTTAGCGTCCATCATATCGGCAAGCAGGTTTTGCCCCGACATGTTTACTTGATCCCAGTTAGCGCCCATCATGTCGGCAAGCAGGGTTATGTTTATCCTGATTTGTTGACTTGATCCCAGTTAGCACCCGTCATGTCCGCAAGCAGGGTTATGTTTACCCTGATGTGTTGACTTGATCCCAGTTAGCGCCCATCATGTCCGCAAGCAGGGTTATGTTTACCCTGATGTGTTGACCTGCTCCCAGTTAGCACCCATCATGTCTGCAAGCAGGGTTATGTTTACCCTGATGTGTTGACCTGCTCCCAGTTAGTGCCCATCATGTATGCAAGCAGGGTTATGTTTACCCTGATGTGTTGACTTGATCCCAGTTAGCGCCCATCATGTCCGCAAACAGGGTTATGTTTACCCTGATGTATTATTGATCCCAGTTAGTGCCCGTCATGTCCGCAAGCAGGCTTATGTTTACCCTGATGTGTTAGTGATCCCAGTTAGTGCCCGTCATGTCCGCAAGCAGGCTTATGTTTACCCTGATGTGTTAGTGATCCCAGTTAGCGCCCATCATGTCCGCAAACAGGGTTATGTTTACCCTGATGTATTATTGATCCCAGTTAGTGCCCGTCATGTCCGCAAGCAGGCTTATGTTTACCCTGATGTGTTAGTGATCCCAGTTAGTGCCCGTCATGTCCGCAAGCAGGCTTATGTTTACCCTGATGTGTTAGTGATCCCAGTTAGCGCCCATCATGTCCGCAAACAGGGTTATGTTTACCCTGATGTGTTAGTGATCCCAGTTAGTGCCCGTCATGTCCGCAAGCAGGCTTATGTTTACCCTAATGTGTTGACCTGCTCCCAGTTAGCGCCCATCATGTCCGCAAGCAGGGTTATGTATACCCTGATGTGTTGACTTGATCCCAGTTAGCATCCGTCATGTCTGCAAGCAGGGTTATGTTTACCTGACGTGTTTATGTGCTGTATTAACAAGAAACCGGGCCAAGTTTCAAGCAGAAGCAGCCAGCTGGTTTCTATAAACAATATGCCTAAAATCATCTCTCACCGTTTGTACAGTGCCAACTCACTGGTCAAACTCTTCACCCTGACTCGAAGATTCCTCTCGGATGCTCTCAGCTCCTCCACCTGTTGACAATCATCATAAAAAATTGACTGACAGTTCAGTGATTTCCACTGTCTGACAACAAAAATGTCACATGAAAAGCAAATCACATAAACACTATTATATCATGCTGCCGCAGTAGTGAAGCTAAGTGTGCCTCTCTGTCTAACCTCAAGAGCTAAGCCAGCGGTGGTATAGCAATTGGGCAAACTAGCCGTATTTTTACAAATAAGCTATTCCGACTGACCTCCATTTATTTGTATCCTATTAGTCATCAGTGAAGATTTACCACCACAGCACTCTGAACAGATCCAAAGATGCTTCGATATCCACGTCAAATCTCCACAAGTGTAAGTGAAGATTACCATCACAGCACTCTGAACAGATCCAAAGATGCTTCGATATCCACGTCAAATCTCCACAAGTGTAAGATGGCTAATGATTCCTGTTTTACACTGATTAATCTAATGCCACTTTAGCGTAATGTTCATTTCTTTCAACTCCAGGTTGCACCCATGCTTTTGTCCTACTACTTATGTCATAAAACATCACAGACAGGACAGATTACATTTAAGCTAATAGGCTTTATGTATATGAAAGACAGATTTTGCCAGGGCACAGGTTAAAGCCTACACTCTGTGGTTCCCGAAAGCCCAAGGTATAGGGGGAAGTGTGATACCGTTAGAGAACAATGGTTCTTTTTAAAATTCCCAGTTCCATGTTGGGAAGAAACCAAGTAACAGAGTAAAAACCATCCATTCCACTAGCAAGCAGATCACAGTCTAGTAGTCATGTTTTACACATCATGGGAATGTTACAAATAAAAGGTAATGAACCCATTAGAAATTCACCCCCCCCCCCCCCCCCCCCCAAACAAAATATTTTTAAAAACAACTGTACACATTTTTTCAATTTATTCTTTTTTTTTTTTATTTATTTATCAACAGATTTTAATGTTTTCCCCAAATAAATGTATAAAGATATATAAAAAGAAGTCAACATTAAACACAGAGCGAAGCATTCAATGGAATACATTCCCTGGAGCCCAAACAACAGATAGTATCATGTGATTCATGGAATACATTCCCTGGAGCTCAAACAACAGATAGTGTCATGTGACTCTTGAATACATTCCCTGGAGCTCAAACAACAAATAGTGTCATGTGACTCTTGAATACATTCCCTGGAGCTCAAACAACAGATAGTGTCATGTGACTCTTGAATACATTCCCTGGAGCCTAAACAACAGTGTCCTGTGACTCATGGAATACATTCCCTGGAGCCCAAATAACAGATAGTGTCATGTGACTCTTGAATACATTCCCTGGAGCTCAAACAACAAATAGTGTCATGTGACTTATGGAATACATTCTCTGGAGCCCAAACAACAGATAGTATCATGTGACACATGGAATACATTCCCTGGAGCCTAAACAACAGATAGTATCATGTGACTTATGGAATACATTCTCTAGAGCCCAAACAACAGATAGTATCATGTGACTCATGGATTACATTCTCTGGAGCCCAAACAACAGATAGTATCATGTGACTCATGGATTACATTCTCTGGAGCCCAAACAACAGATAGTATCATGTGACTTATGGATTACATTCTCTGGAGCCCAAACAACAGATAGTATCATGTGACTTATGGAATACATTCTCTAGAGCCCAAACAACAGATAGTATCATGTGACTTATGGAATACATTCTCTGGAGCCCAAACAACAGATAGTATCATGTGACTTATGGAATACATTCTCTGGAGCCCAAACAACAGATAGTATCATGTGACTCATGGATTACATTCTCTGGAGCCCAAACAACAGATATTATCATGTGACTCATGGATTACATTCATCACTGGACTTATGGACAACTCTGCTTCACAGGAACACCCCCTCCCCACCCCAGGAACACTCCCTTCCTGCCCCAAAGCTAATTTTAGTTTATATATTTATATCCTGGACCCCCCCCCCCCCCTCACCCCCACTTTGCAGGTGCAAACACAAGCTATAGCATTATCTATGTGTCTTATAAACAAGTCTCTGTAGACAAATCGGTTAAATGTCTTTCTCTGGGGAATTGGACCGAGTCGGAAGTGTCAGTTTTGCAGCTTCTCAGGGCAACAGACTAAAACACTGAGCTGATGCTTAGGGACAAATGTAAATGTACCAAAAAATGTTGTAAAAAAGGATTTGCAAACTAAGCACACAGACCATAGTACAGAAACATCATCGGTACCTCCTCAAGCAGATCCCGGTACTCTTGACTCCTTTTACTGGCCAATCTTTGATGCTGGTTCTTCTCCTTCATCAGCTGCTCCTCCAGGTTTCGAACCAGAGTTCTTAGAGCTCTGACATCCTGAACTGAACTGTTTCCTGTGGTTGAACGGACCTCTCTTCTGAAAGCCGCAAATTCTTGCTCCAGATCATTCTTCTCTCGCTCTAGCTTTCTATAGCTAAGGAGGGAGGGGACAAGAGTTTATATTTATGTAAAACAAGAACCAAAGAGTATGTGTTAATGAAAAGCAATTTTATCAAATAAACTGTATCTGTTGTTCCACTTCTACCCTTTGTTAACAGGTATTCCAAAAAGCATATACTTGCAGAGATGTGTTGGTTGTTAGACCACCACACGTTCTAAGTAACATCCCTTCATATGTCATTTAATTATAATGACCAATCTCTAAGCACGACATCTTGGCAGCGCCATTACTTGAACATCAGGTGGGCTTGACAGTTATATGTAAATCTAAAAGCGTCAGAGTTCTGATTATAAACAATCTGTCGCTAGAAAAGATAACAAAGAAAACAGAATTGCTATATAGAAAGATTCTTTCCTTAAAAAATGGACACATGCTGAAACCAGCAAGAGACATTAAACATTTATCCAATGATAGTTCCAGAAAAAGTCAAAACAAACTTACTCTCTGAGCAACTTCTCCATTCTTCTATCATCAAAGGGATGGCTTTGTTTCAACTTTGTGACTTCGGCTTTCAGAGTTCGGATTTCTTCTTGCAACACTTGAGGGTTTGGTTTCCCAACAAAAGGCAGTGGAAGAGGATAATGTATCCTGTACAACAACAACAAATTGCAATGAATGGGGTATCATCTCAGAGAAAACAGTAATTATCTCTAACAGCTCCAGAATTTGGGGATTAGTCTTTCTTACAGAATCTGTACTACAGCCTGTGTCTGAGAAAATTAGACACATAAACCACTACCCCAAGATGACGGGAACTACCCCATCCTTCGTGTTGTGTATAAATCCAAACCAGGAACACCATGAAACTAATAAGGTCAGCATGAACCTGATTCAGACACCATAACCTACCATTTACTCCAACCTTCCACCAGCCCTTCATCCTCCCTCAAAAGTGTCTATTATGACTCTCAGATAATTTGACGACAAGGAATAAAACAAGGTCCCTCACCGATCAAACTCTACTGTGTATGTCAGAATGAGAAACCGTTTCGATGTGATGTGGTTAGCCCGAGATGTAGTGTTGCTGGGTTTCACAGACGATGCTGCACCATTCTTCCTTTGTCGCAGGGCTTCTACGTCACTGTAGGTTAACAAATCGAGGGCCACACTTTCGCTGGTCTGTAGAACAAACAGCAATAGTTTCCATTTATACTGCAGCAAATAAAAGAAGTAAGCAGCATTGAAGTAAATAGTTATAACCAACAGCACAGTATACGGTTTCACGAATAACATTTGAAGAAGATGTAGAAGCCAATAATAGAAGCAGTCAGTTGAGAATTTAGAATTCCCATCTCCCAGTGAGGAGACAGGGGTTCCAATCACTGGGAAGGAAAGGGTTTTTTATTCTTTTCCTGACCTCCCTTGTGGGTCCCAGAGCATCATTGGGGGGGGGGGGGGGGGGGGGGGGAGGGGTGGGGGAGGGGGGGGGGGGGCGTAACGCGGGGGTGAGACACAGATACACTGCCTCCCTAACAAGCATGTCACAAAAGGTGACTAATTAGGGATTTTTCCTTTAAAGTCGGAGCACCTGCCTGAGAGATGCAGAACCAACAATCTGCATACAAGTAAGCAAGATCTGTAAAACAGATGTGTATGCAAAAAGCAAGTTCTGGCTGGAACAAGACTAAAGTACAGAAGTGGACAAACAACCAGCCCTTTGCACAAGTTTAAAACAAGTAAATACTAAGATCTTTTTCTGACCTTCGACCCACACAATCAATCTTTTGAAAAGCACAGTCTCTGCTGCTTGGTACGATGGTATGCTGTGAAATCTTGAGCTGTCAGAGACTCCTTGAAACCATCTTTTTCTAGATTTCCATAAACCTCTTGGTGTTTCCATTCTCATGATGTATGATGTTCTCACGGCCAGCATCACTGGATTTATCCCCATCAGGTTCCATTCTCATGATGTATGATGCTCTCACGGCCAGCATCACTGGATTTATCCCCATCGTGGTTGAATCCTTTCAGTCTCAGAGTTGCGCCCCATGTCTCAAATATCATGTAGTGATATTTCTTAACTCTTTGAGTCACATGGAACGCATCATACGTTCATAGGTTCCTACCTAGAAGCCCGATGAACGCATGATGCGCCGATTTTATAACTTTCTTTACTACCCCCTGGGCCTGTGACGCTAAACCCCCTGGGACTCAAAGAGTTAAAGGAGGAAAACCAGTGACGAAAAAAGTGATCTCTCACTCTAAATGCTATAACCTATGATTATTACGGCTTCACAACATGAGGAAGTAACTTCTGTGGTATTACCTTCACCTTTCCATCATATAATAGAACAAACGAACCTTAGAGATGGCTGATTCTAACATGCTGACAAAAATGTTGAACTGTTTGAAGTTGCCTGTTTTGTGAGTCTGATCTTCAACATCTGAAAATAACAATAAGAACAGAATTAGTGATCAGTGAGGACTATCATCTCATCACTCCAGACCCACAGGTGCTGAAGACAGACCCACAGGTGCTGAAGACAGACCCATAGGTGCTGAAGACAGACCCACAGGTGCTGAAGACAGACCTACAGGTGCTGAAGACAGACCCACAGGTGCTGAAGACAGACCCACAGGTGCTGAAGACAGACCCACAGGTGCTGAATACAGACCCACAGGTGTTGAATACAGACCCACAGTGCTCCAGACAGACCCACAGGTACTCCAGACCAACAGGTGCTCCAGACAGACCCATAGGTGCTCCAGACAGACCCATAAGTGCTCCAGACAGACCCACAGGTGCTCCGGTCTCCTCCTCAAAAACTCCACAAGAGTATTTTGACTAATCACACCTGTTCTCTGTTGATTGTTCAGACATCTTGTGCCCTAAGTCAAATGTTCACATCTGGCTGCTCCAGGCTGCATCCCCACATCCACCAACCTGGATAAAGATACTGAGTACTGCTTGGTGTTGCAATCTTCTTTGTCATATGTGTCATACATGGCATTGATGACATCCATCACTCCTGTCCAGTGACGGGCCTTGCCCATCACATTATCAATGCCTCAAACACCTGCACTGCCTGGCTCAAGGATAAAGGTTAGGCGAGTTATTTGTGATGCATTTACCGACAGAATCCATTCTTGTCAGATAAAACCAGCCTGGATTTTTTTGACCATATTCACTGAATCGCTCAGTATGCACCCATATGTATATTCATGAGTACCCAGCTATTGTGAAGCAACAAAGCTGAAAAAAAGCCACCCCTTTGATGATAGAAGAAACTGCAAAGGCACCACTAATCACCTTGAGGGTTTTTTCTTCGCATCAGAGTGAACGCTAATACACTTCACTTGACCCGGGTGACTGATTCATCCGAGTACACCACAGCATCGCCTACATCTGTTCTTATCAATCATCATTTTGACTTAAGTGTCTACTATGAAAGAAATCTGGTCTCTGCAGTTTCTGTCAGGGGGATATGGACTGTGATGTTAAAGTAACAAAAGAATAATGTGTTTAACAGTGTGATATGCAACATTACATGTACTATAACGTAAAGTGAGCTGTGACGTCCTGGGAAATTTTTTTTTTATATATATAAACGGGTTGCATAAAGGATTAACTAAGAGAGATAACTTATACACATATACATAAATGATTAAATTATAGAGATAACTTACTCTAAGATAAACTTTATAAAGGGTCGACTTATCAAAAGAGTTAACATACTGAGAGAAAATATATATAAATGGTTAACCTATACAGAAATAACTTACTCAAAAAGTTAACTTTCTTAAATGGTTAATTTATCTAAAGAATTAACATACTGAGAAATAATTTACATAAAAGTTAGTGTATATAAAGGCCTAGCTTACGTAAAGAGTTAACCTATGTGCATAGTTAACCAAGACACAGAGAGTTAACCTACATGCATAGTTAGCCAAGTCACAGAGAGTTAACCTATGTGCATAGTTAACCAAGACACAGAGAGTTAACATACATGCACAGTTAACCAAGTCACAGAGAGTTAACCTACATGCACAGTTAACCAAGTCACAGAGAGTTAACCTATGTGCATAGTTAACCAAGACACAGAGAGTTAACATACATGCACAGTTAACCAAGTCACAGAGAGTTAGCTTACACCGAGCATCAAAGGCAGCCCTCCACTGGTCTGACGACAGCCTGTCCTCAACCTGCACCGTCATGGACTCATTCCCTCGACACTCCAGGCTGATGATGTAATCTCGACCTCGGATGTTGAACGTGCCACTGACGGAGATGTCAGGAGATTCCATGGTCGGACAGGAGATCTGGACAGCCCAAGCTGATAATTTATCCTAGCGGTCAATCTAAAAACCAGAAAAGTCATAACTAGCTTACTAAGAAAAATGACCTCTTCTATGATATAAAGATGTGTGCAAGAGGGACATGAATGATACAAGTATTGAGGTGAAATCGTGGGAACAAAATGTCACGGACCGTGTTGTTTGGAGGAGGCACATAAGGAAGGGAGTGAGAACAAAGGAGGAAATGATTGCAGAAAGTATGAGAGCTGAGTGCCTGAGAAGAAACAGACTAAAAACAAATACTGACAACAAGGGTCCTAAAATCCCAGGCTCTCATTGTGGAAGACTTTTCTGAAAGTGGGCGGTTTTGCTAGTCACACTCGCCATCGCCATGAGATGTGAGTCCCATGCCTTGGCATAGCGCAGTTTAACACACTATCATCTGGAAAGACAGAAAGATGCCAATCAATAACAAAAATACGGTAAGAGACTGAAGCCTGGAAATGTAATATTCCCAAAGAAAGTACTGCGAACACTGCAACCAACCTTCACTATGAAGATGGCACAGAATTCTTGTTTTTAATACAAAACCAGGAGAAGCCAGACAAGAGCACTATGTAGGGTGCCAAAGAAGAATCATAAATCAACACCAAACTGGTATTGTCCTTTGCTACATAGTGGCAGATATAGTCCGGTTACTTCCGGTTAAAATGGACGCTATACAGCGGCGCCGTTCGGAACAGCGGAAAATTTTTTGCTTCTGCCGGACGGTGGCCGATGCATTTTTGCTCCATTTGTAGACTGGATATAGTTTCATCGCCCAGCTTCTGAGTTGAATGCATGGCGTGACCCTGTGAGCTGCGGATTGCATTTGGAATGTTTTTTTTCGACTGTGACCAACGTGGTGGTGTGAATTGTAGATTCAGAAAATGGTGCGATGCCTGTCGTTCAATGCTTGCGGGACCCGTATTAAAATTGATCACGCGGACAACTGCTGATCTGTTGACGACAAGTTCTGCTATCATCAATGATGAACTGCATTTCTAATGTTGGACTGTTTGTGTTAGCACTTCGGATGGCTACCATATGCTTTAATGCGAGTGTATGCTAGATATGCTGAGACAGCAGTCTGTTAATCTTTCCACAAGGGACTGTGATAGACATTCTGAGTGTTTTTCGCTGGCACAGGAGCGGAGCAAAGATGGGGCAACCCGTTTGCTATGAAGCTGAAACTAAGACTACCAGACTACCAGACCAGATATAGTGTGGAGGCAATCTAAACATAATGTTGAATTAAGAACCAACGTTACAGCACTCAGTCTCCATCTTCAGCAACAAGTGAAGAGTTCAAATTCTGATGGTACCAGTAACAATTTGTATATTCAACTCACTTTTCCCTCAAGGGCTGAGTCTCAGCCAGATCCCCTGGACATTCCTTACAGCATCATTGTCCGCAGACTGTGATGACCTATTTTTACCTCCGCACTGTTCACTCGCTCCCCAACACAACCTCTAGTTTGTCATGTACCAGTTCACCACTGAGTGGTGCTGAACCAACCAGCCAGTCTTCCTGTTAGCTTCCCAACAGACCGGCATGATCTGGAGAAAATATCCAAAGGACTCTAACCACCTGGGACCTCTGAAGCAATGCTCGCCACTCTACACGGAGAAAACCTGCATCTGAAGACAATATGAAGGATATCATCAACATACACTGGTCGCCTTAACTATACAGCATCAGTGGCTTTTCCTCACCTGTGTGTTGTCCGTCCATCATAAGTTATGAAGACCACTTTGCATCAAAAATTAATAATGATCAAAGTTTGTGAGCATAAAGATGGCTGATAAGTCTAGTTTGAGCCCAGCAGGTTCCCGAGCAGTAAGGACAACAGAGGAAAGCCTCAATTTTTTATTTAGTGCAACCTTTGCTACCTGGCAGGTGGACACACCATGTTTGAAGACCATAGCCATCCAGAAATTGGATGAAAGTGACTTGTTCACTGACTTGGTTTTAAGTGAGGAAAGTTGCACAATGAGTCAGCTTTACTCTCTGACCTATGTTAATTTTGATCGAGTGGCACAACAGCAACAAGATTCCTGGAAATGGATCTAGACAAGACACCCTAAGCGCCCTGCCTTCTTCGAAACACTGCATAGAGCTTGCTGGTCCGTTGAACCTCACCTGTTGCTTTCTTCATTATACAGTACTAATGGCTTTCCTGCAGATACTGACTGCTTCACTATACACAAAACTAGTGTCTTTTCTTCACCAACTGCTTGGATTTGTTTACATTCCTCTAATATACTTGATACTCTCGAAGGATGGGGATGTGCACCAATCAGTGTCTTTGCAGCAAAAACAACCTAGATACTGGTGAATTTATTATTCCTGTGTGGGTTCCAAGGCCTCATTAGGGAAAACCCCTTGCCTCCCTAACAAGCATGTCACAGGAGTCGACTAACTGGGAGCTTCCTTCGAAGTCCGAGTGCATCTGCCTGAGAGGCAAGGAACAACCAACTGCATACAAAAAAGCCAGTAAAATGGATGTACACGCAAAACTCAGGCCCTGTCACGAAGCCAAAGTCCTAATGCACGAATAAGCAAGACTTTCCTCTGGAGCTTACAGCCAGTTAACAAAGAAGAAGAAGACGAATTTATAATTTCATCTGACAACCATACCATAAACTCAGTAATTAATTTGTAACAGCGCAAGGCATGATTGCACAGTAGGAAATTTAAGTACATCTTCAATGTGTTCTAGCCTTAGGTATCTACAGATGCATAACTTTATTAATGTTTTGTTTAATGAATTAAATGATAATTTGTGTGTGTGTGTGATCTTGCTACTTCTACTTAGTTAACTTAGTACTACTTTTCTTTTGTGCGCGCCTAATTAACAAATTGTTGAACAATCATCTGCTGTTAATTTATTTCTCGTGTTAAAGTTGCCTATGAAGAAGCAGCGCTCTTAGCTGGACGCTTTTGTATTGACGGTGGTAAGCTCAACAAGAACCGACTACTGAACTACTGCCGTCTACAGTCTGCAAGTTCTACACCGCTGCCCACACAGATCATAGTGGTTCTTCTTCTCGTCATATAGTATAGAACAAGTTGGGACATGACATGCATGCCGACTACGAATTCAACCCGTGGATATGTATGGCGCTATCAAACAGTCTACAGCGGTAAGACGATAACGTTTTATGAATATTACGTGTGAAAACTGACCCCAAGCTCCTGTCTGTAGTTAGCCTTGGTCAGTTTTAATTCTAAATCTTTTTCTGTAAGATTTTCGAATGGGCCGCTGTCCAACAGTGTTTACATCTGTGTATCTACACTCACTTCCGTTTCCGGTTTACGTTTCATGCCTTATGTATTTACACTCCCGCCACCAGCGTCGGTATTTAGTCTCTCCGTTGTCTGTGAGAAGCGAAGTTCGTGTATCATACAAGTTCTCCGATTAGCGTTTGCTCAGGGCAGAGTACGGCGCGCTGAGACATAGCCAGCCACAAAGGTTCTTAACCGCTGAACACACATGTATGTCATAGTCTCCCCGCTGTCTCTTCCCCCCCCCTCTCTCGCTCTCTCTCTCTCTGAGTGAACAGCTGAGCTTTGCCTGGATAGGTAATAAGTAATCTAGGTCAGTGTTACCTGCGACTGGGGCAGCAAGTGGTTATTCTGCTTGAAACAGAAGTATAATTGGTTGGACAGCGAGAATAGAAACCCCGTGTGACATCCCCCCCCCCCCCCCCCATATAAAAAAGTAACACAAATGGAGACTCTCCGACTGTTTATACGTATCTCAACCCCACAAGTGTAAGAGGAACCAGGTGAGATAGCGATGTGATCATTCTAACAGGAGTCTACCTATTTCCATATGGCAAAAATGGGAGCGTTGGTGGCTGGCCAGCCAGTCAGTGATCCTACGTTTGGATCCCCCATGGAGACCAACTCTTACACTCAACTTGAGCCCCAAGATGGTCCCAGTCCAGAATAGGTAGTACCAGGACATGTTCGGCCCACGCCCATCTATATCTAAAGATGGCCGTGGTTCGGCCAAACAGTTCGGCAGCTCAACACTGGTCTCCTCGTGTGGGCAGTGACGTAGCAAGGTCAGGTGGTACCCGGTGCGGAGAATTTCCTGCTCTCCATGTCTGGCGGTTCGTTGCCACCTGTGTTAAGTCTTGAATGTTCATTAGGTCTATGGCTGAACCTTCTCTGATGATGGTTCTACACAGGGTCTCTCTTGGTCTTCTGCTTCCTGTCAGTGTCCATAGGAGAGCTTGGTGGGGGAGTATTATCTTATCTCATTCAGTCTGATTGCATAGCCGATATAGTTCCAATGGCGCTGTTTTAAAAAACTGGACACATTATCTTGCTTGGTCTCTTGTCTTATTTGCGTATTGGATCCTAAATCTGGGCTCTACTGGCTAATTTGGCCCGTAAGCTGGACTGCTTCGGCCGGCTTAGCGGGGCTTAGTGGGAGTTATGTCCCTTCGCGTCTCTTCGCCAAACTCAAAACAAGTCGCGGAAAAAGTCACGAATCAAATGACATACTTACCTATCATCATCCGGGTGCGTGTAGGGCTGCGTAGGGTTGCGTCTAGGGTTACCTATCATCATACGGTTGCGCGTAGGGCTGCGTAGGGTGTCTATCATCATCATACGGTTGCGTATAGGGATGCGTAGGGTGTCTATCACCATCATCATACGGTTGCGTGTAGGGTTGCGTAGGGTTTGGGTTAGCGGTAGGGTTAGGGGTAGGGTTAGGGTTAGGGGTAGGGTTAGGGTTAGAAGATGTGAAAATATTCATGTAGGAGGTGGAAATACTGGCCGACAATCTGATGCTTGTGGGAGTGGCGCCACTGGATGTGTGCCAAATATGACGGCAATAGCGCGCGGCGGCTGGTGCCCAATCGGTGGCGAATTGTCCGTGTCAGTAGCATCCACCGTCCATTGACTGTTTGCGCGTGCATGCGACTGTGCGCGATTGTAGGGAACTACGGCG